CTTGCATTGGGACAGAAAGAGTAGCTACCATACTTTCACATACGAGAAAGGAAATTTAGAGTTTCCTTCTCATTTGTTCTAGTTTGATTCAATCTAACCTTTGTTTAACTTAATTTGATAAAGAAGATTAATTTTTGAAATAAAGAGGATTGTTTTAGTAAAAGCTTTTCTAGCTCACTTTTGAAGCTACAATTTTTTGTAATTTCAGCTCCTAACTCTCTAAAAGTTGACGTTAGAAGTGCTTTTAAGAAAACTATTTTTAACTTAGCTTTTAACCTTTTGCTTTTAAAGTAAAGAAGCTCATCAAAGAGATACAAGAATTAGACAATTAATGACATTAAGGGCCTATTTGGTAAAACTTTTTGGAGCTTTTATTTTTTTAGTATTGTTTATGAGTCATGAGTTTAAATTTTGATTGGAAAAAAAAATTTTAAAATTACTTTTAGAAATAATAAAAATTGAGGAGGAAGTGAGTAGGAAGAAAGTTTTAAAAAGTAAAAGTTTGAAGTTTTTCAAAATTTACTGCCTAAGGTCTTTGTAAGGTTAAACATAAGTTAAAAAATGTAAATTTTTAAAAGAGAAATTTAAACTTATGAAACATGAATAGTTACAAAAGCTGAATCACTTACAAGTTTCACCAAATATGCTCTAACCTCCTTACCATCAAACTGCCTTTCCAGGCTAAAATACAGTTTGCCAATAAGATCATCCATTGTAAATGTTTCAACCAGAGAAATTAAAGGTACAACAGACAGGATAACAAAATAACCAAACAATAACATAGATCAGTCTCATCTGATATTTCATTATTTCATGAGAGATAATTGACTCCTGCTCAACAGAAGCCCCTCCCTACTCCTCTCCCTGAGAACTGTAGCGAGTCCTTTTCTACCCCAAAACTCCAGCCTGAAATACGATGAAAATGATCTCTCTGTCGCTCTGTGGAGTCTCATCAGCATCCATCACTCCTCCATCTCCTCAGGAGGATCCAAGTTCAGGTCAGGAAGCACCAGTCCCCCTGCATTACCTTCTTGCTCCATAGCAGCTGGAAAGGAAGAAAAAATAAGTAAAAAGGCAGATAAAACTTGGAAATGAAAATTGTATACAAAAATCATTGAGAATTGAGAGCAGACCACGATTGGAAAGCAAAGGCTTCTGCAGTCTTACAGTACTTGGGAACATCAAGAGGTTGAGTTCCCTCAACTCCTTAATCAGTCCATCTTCAATTGGAGAGAAAAAGTGTTTTTCCCTCCACATATTAACTACTTCCGGCATGGATGGAATCACCAGATTCGATATCTTGAGAGAGTGCAGAGTCTGCAAATCAAAATTATCAACATTAAGACATGATTTAATACAACAACAAAATGGTTGTATAATACAAGTTAAATATGGACTTACAGATTCAATAGAGCTTAGCAACTTGCATGACATGCCTTGGTTCCGATGTCCCTCCCGTGTTCCTATGAATGGCATCTCAGCCAAACTCCTTCCATGGACCCTGAAAATTAACTAGTTGTTAAAAAGAACACATGCACA